GTGGCTTAAAAACCACAGTTGGGGGACCAGCAGTTAGCATAATGGCTATGTTGCTAGACTCCCATGTGGACGACCGCGGTTCACGTCCCAGACCCGGTGGCTTAAAATTCACGCCGGGCGCGTGTGCGTGCGTGCCCAAGATCCCGAGAGGAGAACGGAGAAGGGATTGCGGTGTGGCCATCTCCCCTGGGGGGTGATTTCTTGCTTTCTGTCTCTCTGTCTCTCTCTGTCTGGCAAGCGCACGCACCCTATAGCAAAAACCTCTCAAAAAAAAACAAAAAAATACCACAGTTGGCGTGTGTGTGTGTGTGTGTGTGTGTGTGTACATAAGCAAAATCCCAGGAGGGAAATGAAGGGATTGTGACCTGGCCACCCCCTGGGGGGTGATTTCTCACTTTCCCTCTGTCTCTCCAGTGAGTGCATATACCCTATGGCAAAAAAAATAAAAAATAAATAAAAAATAAAAAAAAGTCATGGGAACCAGCGTAATGGCTATGTCGCTGGACTCCCATGTAGTCGACCGTGGTTTGCGTCCCGGATCCGGTGGCTTAAAACTCACACCGGGCACGTGTGCGTGCATGCCCAAGATCCCGAGAGGAGAATGGAGGAGAAGGGATTGTGGTGTGACCATCCCCCCTGGGGGGTGATTTCTTGCTTTCTGTCTCTCTGTCTCTCTCTGTCTGTCTGGTGAGCGCACGCGCCCTATAGCAAAAAACTCTCCAAAAAAAAAAAAAAAGTCAAGTCAGCCCATAGCCTGGTGGTTAAGTGTCAGTCCTCGCTCTGACACTTTTTGGCTGACCATGGTTGAAATCCTGGCCCAGGAAGCCTGACAATCACACAGGGCACATGTGTGTGAATGGCCCACACTCTGACAGGACGGAGACATGGAAGAGAAGGGATTGGGCTGCGACCATGTCCTGTTGATGCAGGGTTGGGGGGGTTCTCTCTCCTTTTGTCTCTCTGGTAAGCACATGTGGCTTTTGAGTGTGGCAAAACCAAAATGCTGGTTGACACTGGGGAGGTGGATGTCACGCACTGCTAATGACTCGGCACTCACATTTGAAAAGTCTAGGAGACCTTCTGCTACTCCCGACAGAACGGCCTGCTCTCCTGACCCGAGTGCTTAGTGCAGCCCACTCATGGCTGACTTCTTTGAGCTCCTGTGACTCCCAGAAGGGCAGAGAAAGGGTCTGCTGCACCCCAGCTTCTGGTACAGTGCCTAGCTAATCACTTACTAGGTGCTTAATAAAGCATTCGTTGAGGGACCAGCAGGTGGCAGAGTGGTTAAGGCACTGGACTCCCACATGGTCGACTCTGGGAGTGTGGTTGGAGTTCTGGACCTGGCAGCTTGCTTTCTAGCTTTCCCTGTCTCTTTCTGTCAAATTTTAAAATGATAATAATAAATGAATTTAAATAAATAAGCAATTCTTGACTTAGAAATAAATAAACGTTTGTTGAATGAGTAAATGAACAAACAGCGAGCAGAGTTGAGGTCACAACTCCACGTCTGCCCTCCAATTGAACTTAATCATTCTGCCCACACCATTTCTTTTTTTAGAAAAGGAATTATTTATTTAATTTTCTTTTCTATTATTATTATTTTATTTAACCCGACAGAGAAAGTGAGAAAGCCAGCCACCAAGTCTTGAACTTGAACTGCAGTTGGCCATGCGGGAGTCCAGTACCCTAACCTCCACACCACTTGCTGAGCTCCTACGCACCTCATTTCTAATGACCCAGGTATGAGGCCCGAGAGCCTTCTAGCCACTGTTTCATTCTGGAGAGACGCTTAACCCAAACCTTCCGTCTGCAGGAAACAGGACTACATTTCCCATAAGACTCAACGCGGGAACTACATCTCCCATAAGCCTCTGCTTTTGCCAGGTTCTGTGCCCTTCAGCCACGAGGGCACCTAATTGCATCTTTCGTCACCCCAGTTCCCCCAAATTCATTCCGTCTACCTTGCAAGCAGGGCCTAAATCCTCTCCTGCCCGCGATGAACCTGCCTCAGTTTCTCCAATGAGACACCCCGAGAGGCAGCCCCTTTACCGTCCCCTGGAGCCCCACGATAAGGAGGGTTGTGCGCTGCGGGGTTTGCGAATCCCCTTCCCGCGTACGTCGCAGCTGTGGGTTTTGGTGGAAAGACTTGGGCCCCTGCTGGGTGTCAGGAGTGCTGCTGGGTCGCTCCGGGGAGCGGGTGTCTGGGTCGCCTACGCAGTTGTTGCCCAGGCTGGATCTGGGACGTGCAGCTTCAACTCAGCCTCACCCAGAGGGACCCGTCGCGGAGGTGGGAGTCCGCGCTCTGGCTGTGCCTGCAGTTCCCGGCGCTGTAGGGTGGGGTGTGACCTCGAGACGGCGGGGTGTATGATTGTTTGAAGTGTCGGGGCCCCAGACAGACCAGGTTCCAGTCCTCACTCTGACACTTTTTGGCTGTGTGCCTTGGGGCAGTGACTGTCCCTCGCTGTGCCTCAGTGTGCTCATGCGCACAATGGGCAGATGAAGGGCCCTTCTTAGAGGGCTGCCGAGAGAATTAAAGGTACTTGGGTGTAAAACGCGGAGGCGATGCGCGACGCCCGTGCTGAGTAAATACATTCCCCGAAGGATCAACAAAGCCTACTGTGATTTTGTGTCTCTCATGTTAAGCAAGATTTTGTGTCTTTCGCAGTTGTGATGCGGGTGTCTGCATGTGTAGTGTGTGTCTGCTTCTTTGTATGCGCCACGCGTGCCCACGTGCCCACATGTGTTTACGTGTGCAATGTGACCACGGTGGGGTCGGGGGTTTTTCTAAATTTGTGTGAAGTGCGTGCACATTTGTGGCGTGTGTGTCCATGCCCCTGTAGCTAACTGATGTGCGTGCACCTTCATGCCTGTGTTTGACATGTGGCCCTGTGTCGTGTGCCTGTGTATGTGTGACTGTGTGTGGATGTGGTATGTGTCTGCTTGTATTGGTGTGTGATTATGTGTATTTTAGCACACGATTTGTGTAGCTGTGTGCGTGGAGTTGTGTATGCCCACATGCATTTGTATGTGCGATGTGTCTGCGGGTATCTGTGTCCACATGTATGGTTCTGTGTGTTCCTGTGTGTGATGCGCATGTCTCTGTGTGTATCTGTTGTGCCCGTGTGTTCGTGTATGTGCAGCTCGTGTGTGTTCCATGTTAGTGCATGTGACGTGTGTGTCTCCGTGCGAGTGACGTCCGTGCCGGCCGCGGGAGGCGTGTATGCGCTGTGGGGTCTGTGGCTCTCTTTGTTGCCCATTTGCCTAGGAACGTTCCCGTTGCGTCTGTGCCTGGGCTGTGGCCGTGTGTCCACGGCGATCTGTGGCGCCAGTGTCTGGATCTGGGCTCCACTTCAGTGGCGTGTTCAGGCCTTTGTGATGCTCTGATGCTCCTGCGTGGCCCGGCGCATCTGTGCCGGGGGCTGGCCCGCCTGTGCGTTCCCTGTGTGCCCGTCCCTGCGTCTTTGTGTGTGACGTGTACGTGTCCCCGTCTGCCGATGGCTGTCCACCTTTGTATGTGATGTGCTTGTCTGTGAGGGTCCCTGAGACGTGTGTCAGCCGCGTGTGGGCTGAGTGTGCCTGACATCTGCATTTTAGCGTGTGGCACACGTGTCCATGCCGGTGGCATGTCACCGCAATGTCTGGGCCAGGCACTGTGGGCTCTGCGCCCCCCAAGGGTCTGCTGGTCCCTGTCTGTCCCTCCCCCTCCCCTCCCCTCCCCTCCCTCCTGGCAGCCAATGCTACCGGGAGCCAGTTGCCATGACGACGCTCCATCCTCCCTCCATCCTCCCTCCTCCCA